ACTACATGCTGTTATAAATAGAAAAAAAGTTAAACATGCTGAGCTAAATTAATTTTAAGATCGATCGATCGATCTCAGGCCCCAGTTTTCATTGATTGTATTTGACATGACACTCATTTTGTTAAAATAAGTTCAGTCCTTGCTTTTTAGTTTTGTGGTAAATTGATGCCGCTGCACCGAAGTTAAGAGTACAAAATTTTAATTGACAAATGTTTCTGGTAAACTTGTTGTCTTGTAAGAAAGTTGGTCATTTAGTGCAACCATTTGCTAACGTGAGCAACGACCAACTTGGGTCAATGGGTTACCAACCAGATCCTATTTCATTTGTAGTGCCGTGGAATCTATAAGAATTATTTAGAAATTATTAATTAGCAGAAATTTAATTTTCTCTTATTCGAGATTTTTTTTATATCTCATTTAGGTTAAGCTTTTCTATTTTAATTTGATTAGGATTTTATAATTTATGGAATTAATATGTAATTCAGGTTTATCACATTTTAAGTCAGGTTCCACCAGTGGTCTATCAATTTTTACTAAAGGAAGAGCTCAATCACATTTTTAAATTGCATTGATATGTCAGTTCAGATTCAAGAGAAAAGATATAACGGCTTAAATACGTTTTATTTCTTAAAAATATAATATTATTTTTGTTTTAGTTTGTATGAACAATTTATTTACTTTTATTTTTTGTATTTAACAAAAATAATTTTAAAATAATAAACTTCACGCTTTAAGAATTAGAAATATATTTAAATCTACATAATTTAAGTCAAAGGTTTTATTGTTAAACTGAAAGCTCGAGGTTTCAGCCTTTGAATTTTTTGGATCCGTGGCAAAGTGAATACCATTAAAAAATAAAACAAAATTTCTCACTGTGTAATATAGGAACATAGCATTTTATAGAACCACTTTCGCAGACTTCTTTAGTCTTTAAAAAAACAAGTTGCTGTTTGGTCACAATCATAGCACTGGAGCAACCAAACCCACACTCAAGATGTCGACTTATTCTTAACTCTCTTCCAATGATCTTGCTCTTCTTTCTGTCTTTTTCCTCTCTCTCTTTCTTTTTTCTTTTAAATGATAATAATGGTGGACTGTTCTAATATGTTATCAAGCGTAGCAATAATGGCATGACTGTTATTGGTAATTATTGTTCTATCAAAGGATTACTTTTAAGTGGCGTTGTTAGTAAAGGAGATATGAAGAATGTTAGGCCATAAAAAAAGTTACTATCATAAAGGTAAGAATTAGATGAATTTCTAGTGCAATATTAATGTGTTTTTAATATACTATGGTTAGTATCTAAGAAAAAAAAAAGTGAGAGAAAAAGAATTTGATAAAATTTTAACTCCTCCATAATTTAGTTATATCAAGAAAATAATAATAAATAAGTGTTTTGTGTAAGACTTGCATAAATTATAATCTTGCAAAAGTTAGAGAGAAAGTATATGAGAGAGATTTTTACTATTCCTTATTCATTCTCTTTACTTACAACACTTCATAATCTTTTAAGGGTATGATTATTTATTCAAGAAAAAATTATTTCTTTTTATTTTTTAATATATTTTTTACATCAAACAAATTAAAGCTTTAGTCATTTTCTTACTGTTTTATTTTTATCTATTCTTTTTCCGATTTTATTTTCTTTCTTAAACCAAATACAATATTAAAGCTAATACAACAATACATTAGAACTCTGCGTTCAATAAGGTTAACACATGTTAGATCCTGTGACAATTATTACCCAAAAAAGGAATGAGGCACATAAAAGAGAAAGAAAGAAGTTCAACTATGCACTCTACGGTATAAATGTTATTATTGGATCATTATAGAAATGTCATGTAACAAATTAAAATCTTAAATATAAATGCTACAAAATAGTACATTAAATTAAAGTTTGTCTACAAAAAGTCTTGGAATTTAGAAGAAGTTGGATTTTTATGACACACCTACGTTCGACCAAACCAACGACACGCGTTTTATGTGTTTAGCCAGTAGCTCATACTTCTAACACTAATCGAGACTAACAAAGGAGAAATAATAGAGTAAATAAAGACTTAACTATGATATGAAGTGAGCAACGTGAGACATAAGACATAAGAAAAACAAGAAATGGGCATGCCATTATTTCAATAATTCTCAGTGATATTAATTTTTTTTAGGTCAAAGAAAGTTATTTTTGTTTTTAAGTATTAATATCCTAAAAATTAAATTTACATGTGGTGAAGTGAGGTGATAAAATTATTTAAAAATAAAATATTCTTAAACTAAATGAATTAAGTTAAAATTTATTATATTTACTATGGGTACATTTAGATAATTATTTATTTACATACTTATTTAATAATTTTTTAAATGATAACTTAAGCCTAAAATTTAATGATGAAATTTATTAAGATAAATTTTAAATAATTTATTTTGATAAGTTATACTAACAAAGTATTGTTTATTTTTTACTGACAGAAAGAAAAAGTATTGTTTCTTAAAAAAAATAAGGTAAAATTTGAAGAAGAAAAAAATCAATCCAAATCATAAGTCTTCTTTACAATTGGATATGACACTTTTTTTGTCTTAAAATTAATCTAAATTGAATTGCAAACACCTTTGTTAAAAATAACATTTTTAAGCGTTGTCTGATTAAAGTTTCGTCAAGTAAAATTAACTGAAAGCTTGAATATTGCAGGATATAGGTTATAGTTGATAAATTATTTAATTTAATTTAAATTAAAATAATTTGATAAAATTAGTAATACAATTAATTAAAATTTATTAAATAAATAAATAGAGCGTTAAGATTAATTTATGTGTGTAAATTTGTTTAAAATGTTAAGATTAAAAATAGAAAAATTTATTGAAAACTAGTTTTCAATAAGCTAAATGATATTTAGAATAAACTATTTTCTATAGTATTTTTATTCTTAAGTAAACTATTTTCTTGTGATTAGTTAAAAATTTAGTGGTAAATTTAGAGGAATATGTAAGGATCACGGTATGCAAAAACTACAATCTTATCCCCCTCTCTCAATTCCTACCTCTGAAAGAAAAAACAATTTTCTTGATAATTAGATTTTCGAAAATAAGATTTGATGTAACATGAAAGGAGGATAATATTTCCACTATATCCTTTTCATTGACTTACTTTAATTCACTTTCCTTTGATAATTATATTACTTAGTATACAATCAAACACATATGTTTAAACGAGAAAATGATACTTTGATTTGTTTAAATGGAAACATTTCATCGAATCATTAAAGGTTTGCCATTATTTAAAAAAATATATTGTTAGCACTTAGGATGCTTGATGTTCATAGATCTCAAAGTTTTGATGAAACATAACTTCAATATTTGAAAGAGAAAAAATATTAATCGAATAAAATTCCTAAAAATACAATTTTAGATGACGTCTAAAACAAATAGCGATATATGTTATAGTTTGAAGTATCAGACCACTCAAGTACCATAGAGGATGGTCTGAAGTCATTCTTTTCAAAGATTATGCTACCTTATCTGAAATCAACAACTGCACAACGACCTCGTGCATTAATTGTTGATACAAAACGTTCACACAGCCGTAGAAACTTCAAGTCATAACATTTTTATTCATTTATGAAGATGAAAAGGGACAGGCCTTGTGCATTAAAGAAAACATTCTTCATTTATTATCTTCTTCTTAGTATGCTCATCTGCTTCTTTTGTGTAGTTATTAACAGAATATTCTAAATTTGACTCCTCCCATGTTTATAACTAACATAATATGGTCATGTCGGAGAGAAAAAGACAATTTTTATCACATAAAAATCAACCTTCTAACATGATAATAGCATGCACTCTGCAACATGAGAAAATTCAAATCAATTTTGATCATCGTTATTGTTTATTATAAATTTTTTGTAAGCGTGAACTTAAATAAACTTTTTAAATAAAGAATATTTTAACAAAAAAAGAAAAGAAAAGACTCAGGTAAAAAAATAAAAAATTAATGTAAATTTTGTGTTGAATTTAATTGTAAATAATAAAAAATAATAATTCTACATTAAAGATTAAATGTGACTTTCATGCGATATCACCTTAAATTGAAATTAATTTTTGACTTACTTCTTCTTTCTTTTTCTTTTCTTTTTGTTTTGTTGTTCTAATTTAAAACTTTTTCATCACATTTATAACTTAATTATCTTTTTCAATTATGTTAGTTATTCATTTCTTTGAAACTTTAAATAATTACCTTTAAGAACATTAGACATTGTCCCTATCTATTTTTTTTTTTAAGTTTTGAAATACAATCCTCTTGTATATACATTTTTTATTTTAAAAAAATCCTCTTCTTTCTACGTCTCATTCTTCCAAAACAACTTATAATTTTTCCAACAACTCCTCCACAAACGCAAGGTTGAGAATCGAGTATGGTACACCAAAACTTTATTACTTGGTGAACCCTTTATTCTTTGCTTCACCAAAATAGTGTAGAAAAGACTTAAAAGATTTGAAAGGAAAGCTATTTTGGAACTTCTAGTTGTATCAGAGTGGCTAGATGACATGGAACTATTCACGTGAATAGAAAGTGACAAATCAATCTCCTTCTAAGATACCAAGACACAAACTAAGCTTATATGTGTCAGTTTGTTAAAAGAAACACGCATTTTTCTGGCCTAGTTTTTTCTTTGCCATTTCATTGACACCATAATCATCATCCTTGTCATACTATACCTGATCCCAAACATCAAAAGTTTAATGACAAAACAGTATAGAGATTATGATATATTGGAAATTATATCAAAATAGATCCTCTACAGCGTGCAACCCTCTCCAATACAAAATTCACCTATAGTTGAATGTGTGATTGAGTAACAATAAAACATTATAATATTTTATAACCTTTGGATGGAAATTTGAAGGCTGTGATTTTGCTGCAGAGAGATGCACAACAGGAGGGGATCCAAGTCCAAATTATATGCAGCAATTTTAACTCACAAGAAGGAACACAACTGTGCATATTATAGACAAGAAGTACGATTGATTTGATTAAAACAAAATTGCTTAGATAACAAATGTGTCAAAGATAAGAATTTATTTTCTGAAATCGGGGACCTACTTGCTCATAAAAAACTGAAAAATAAAAATCACGACCAACATCTCCATGCTGTATTATGCCATCCAAACATCAAAATGCACTAGTGGCCACATAACTATATATAGGAAGAGTGGTCTGATTTAAGCTCATCTTAAATTCCCTACAGGCTCCATCAGAGATCCTGAAATTATCCTTAAATGTACATCATTCTCCAAAATCTTCATCTAACTTTAACCTGCTTGCTTAATTCCCCTGAAGGAAAGCAACATTATTTCAAAACAAGATATCTAGATATTTACATGATCTCATACTAGCAAGTATCAACCATAAATTTGCTATAATTGTTACCAGAATTCTATATATGGAAACATCTAGGGAAAAAGCTTCACGTGTTTTATGCATCTGCAACGATTTTTAATTAAAGTATAATTTGACTAACTGAAGATTGATATGAGAGGCTGGAAAATTGACTTAGTAGCAGGCATAGTTTCAGAGAAATTTACCAGTAGAATATCTAGATTACGGAAAAGGAAAAATGGGGGAAAGCTTGAGCTCCAAATTTAATCTATAGCAAGCAGGGTATTTATATTTGATGATTTCGAAATCATCTTTCACCTGAACTCTAGCAGAACTCGTCCTATAAATTAATGCAGAAATCAGAATAGTCATGTACTTCAAAGTTTATGTGCAATGGGCCAAAAATAATTATTTGCAATTGACATAATAAATTTAGTACACAATGCAAAATGCCCCAACATAGCTGTTTTGTTGCTCTCATAATCTAGTTTCCATCTTTAAAATCAGTACGATTGTCCACTTGACATTTTTTTTCTTTCACAAAAGTAATTTTACAGCAAGTACAATTTATTTGGAGAGAAATGAAATATTTTAGCTTACAATTTACTCGAATTCATTTTGAGTGTGATACTTGAAAAATTTTATAAGCATACATATACTTGCAAGTTACAACGATTAAAACTCACTTTTAAAATATCCTTTCCAGATACAAACCATTTTTCACATTAGTTTTTTCAAAGTTATTGCTTTCAAACATCAACTCTTTCAAAATTCTACCAAACTTAGAAGAAATGGATCCGTAATGGTCATGTTTCTATACCAACATAGAGAGAGAGAGAGAGAGAGAGAGAGAGAGAGAGAGAGAGAGAGACCGTAACACTAATTCAAATTTACTACAGGCTTGTGACCTGTCAACTTTCGGGCAGATGGAACTCGTGCCACAGATGTAGCAGCTGCAACAGCAGCCACACGTATTCTGCCAAATTCATTGTTCATTCCACATTCAGTTAGTCAGTAATCACTCAAAAGCTAGGGGACGCAATAGATTAAGAAGAAAAATAAAACTAGAAATTTTAGATCACCTTCTATGTACATCTATATACACATCAGTCTCATCCACAATTTCTTCCTGCATGAATGAAAAATATTAGCAAGGGCAACATATTTTTATTTTCGTTGTAGCACCACACTCAACAATCCCATCTAATTGACATAAGCTAAAAAGGGTGATAATAAATGTAAGTGTATCACCAAGTTGCTAGCAGTTAATCCATAATTCTAATTCTTAGTCTGGGAGCTGAAGACACGTAAGATGTGACTAGTGCAATGTGCAAGTAGATGGTACCTGCAGAAGTTCTTCAAAAACGTCCTCCAGGGTTATGATGCCAATAACTTCCCCATCTTCAGCATTATCTGAAAAGTGGTGGACACCATTTGTTGCAATGCCATCTTTTTGAAACTGTTGGTCTGCAGCATGCTTATGAGGCTTGTCAATATTGACAACAACATTTTTTGTTTTCTCAGAAGTCTTGGTTAGCAATGGCATAGTTAGTTGAGAACTATGTTTGATGACTTCTTTATCCTTGGATTTTTCAATATCACCAGTTGCATGAGGTCTTGTAACCTTGACTACAGCTGCCATATGGCTGCTTCCTTTTTGAAACTCATTGAGAATGTCATATAGAGGCATATCTGCTGGAACCCTGGGTTGTTTATGAACAATACTTTAGGTCAATTAATAAGTTTTTGAAAGATGAAATATAACGGCACCTTGGTCAAACCTTGGAATCCTCCGGATGGAAACTGCACTAACTGGTGTCTCTGTTTCAGCTCTTACAGTAAGAAGATTTTTTACCTACGAAATTATAAAGTGAAAAACTGTCTATAGAAGCATGTACCTACAAAACAAACTTTTTAAGCATTTTGGATACACCATATATAAACACTCACTAGTAAGAGGCCAATTATGTTTTTGGGGTTTCCACTGTATACAGGGACACGACTATGACCTCGAGCAAGAATTTTCCCAATTGCTTCCCTATGATATAGCAGCAAAAAAGAAGTATATGACTTTACTTCAGCTCTAATATACATACTTATTGTCAGAAATGTGTGTGGTCTCAATGACATGTCACAGGTCAAAACTCATTAGAAAGAATGGTAATTAGACGGCCTTTCTTCACTCGTTTTTGGGAATGTTGTCCACAAAAATTCAACTGCCTTAATCAAAGAATGGTTCAGTAGAAGTTAACCTGACCCTCAATTCAAAACTAACCACAACTATTGTACTAAAAAGGATAACCTTTTTTAAGCATTCCAAAGAAAAAAGGAATGTGATATATCTGATAAAGCAATGCATTTTATGAAATACAAGCATATATTATATGCATAAAGTCATAAAGAAATCCTCACAGAATTTGGTACTCGGGCATAGGAAAGAACTGAATGACATCATCAGTTAAGCAAAATATATATATATATATATATATATATATATATATATGCTTTTTGCATTATAATATAATTAATCAATAAACACACTTCCAAATTGAAGAGAGATAAAAAAGTTCAAGTATTGGAGGGAATGGAATGCATTTGATCAAGTCCCATTTTATTTCATCTTATTTTAAACAACAAAAACAATGAACCAAATATCATTCCATTTCATTTGACTCCATTTCATCCTTTTTCATCAATCAAATAAGCCATTGGTACTCACTAGCCAATAACATCCTGTTCACTATGTTTATGTGTGTGTTTAGTTAACTATGCAGAAATTCTAAGAGAGTAGAATTCAAGACAACAGAGAAATTTCTGTCCAAACAGGAGAGCTGCAGCACACCAGCTTTTAGAAACTCATTCATTTGACCCACTTCAATATAAATCATGGAACAAGAAAAAAGAATGAGAAAAATATTCACATATATAATTCAAATACACAAGTTCAGTTTATTAGGAGATTGATAAAGTGAGATAAGTCTGGGTCAAGTAAGACTGACATAATCCACAATACTTTGGTTAAAAATAACTGGACCTTCTGTGTCTGCTACATAGATCTGAACAGAAAAACTTATAAAAACAAACACACCAGTCCAATTTGGAAGCAACATCCAACGAAAACGTAGATTCAATTGGTGTCATAGCCTCCTCTGCTGTCTGCATAACGATTTAAAAATATTTTCTATTTTAGAACAAAGCAAATACATATATGTATGTATGTATGTAGATGCCTTTCTCCAAATCAGTGACTACCTTCTCAGTGAGATCCAGTGCTCCACTGATAATTGTTGCCTCATCATGAGTGAGTTCACCTCCTTTACCAGCCTAAAATTGTCAGGAAATTGAATTTAAGGGAGACTGAAGATAATTGACGAAACTTGAAATCTTTCATGGTGAAATTAGCATAATTCCTTTATATTATGTTATCAAAATCATTTTTAACATGGTAAAAGATTAAAATACCATTACTAAAACATATTTTCAGAAAAATCCAGTGGTTACTCAACTTGAAAAGGAAGCTGTATAAAATGCACGTGGTAATTCAAGCAGATTACCTCTTGACTATGGATTGATACAAGGGCTTTCAACTGTGCTCGCCTAAACAGTGCATGATTGTGTCCAAGCAAAACATCTAGAACCTGGAAGCATAAAGGTATAGCACTACAAAAGCCATGATTTGTTTTAAGTAAAAAAATGTCCACTATTATGAACTGTATATAGCAGATGCCTCCAGGAAAAATTAAATTAACTTAATATGACTACACTGAGTGGTTCAACCTAAGATAACCCAACTCCCAAATTGTTCTAACACCAACCCTTTTACCATAGGGCATAAGGTTACTGTGCAATCAGAAAAACTCAGAATGATCTATCTGAACATAGAATTGATTAAATAATTAGAATCATAATTTCATAAAACCTGTAAGAATCAAATTCTACTAGGTGGATGAAATTATGTATCACCTTTATGCTCTATTATAAATTGATGACTTTAGTATAATTTCTTCAATTAAAGTTGGAATTTAGACTCACCTTTCCAATAGGGTAAGCAATTGGATAACAGATAATCATTAGGACACGTACAAGCCCCACAAAATTAGCACCAACATAGAGCCCATATCGTGCGCATATAGCTTGTGGGATAACCTAAGCCCAAGTGGCATTAACAGTCAGTGCAATGACCTGCTTATATGATCCAAGTAAACTGGATTGGAAAAATTATTGTACCTCTCCAAAAGCTAGAACAAAAGTCACAGATAACAATACTGCTACAATAGGATGAAAAATTTTATCAAGGTAAATTGGAAGTGCCTGCAAATCAAAAAGGCATGAAAGGAAACGCAGAGATGAAGGATCCACCGATATTCATTAGTTGTAGTAACAATTATATCATTTACTGACATTACATGATTGCATTAATTTTAATCTTCTTTAAATAATTGCCATTATGTGATTCACTAACAGTGTAACACTTCTTACACCAAATTTGGATGAATATTAAATCCTTAGAATTCTCCGATGAATATATGCCAGCAAGATATACTGTTGTAGACATTCCAAATTCAAGATACCATATCATGTATCATTTGGTTACTGAAAGTATCGGCAATATTGTTGGCAGAAGCACTAAACCCTTTGAAAGGCCAACAGTTAGTTAAATGTTCAAAGAAAAAAATTTCTCTAAAAAGAACAAAACTTACTTAGGAAAAAATAAATTAATAAATGAACACTTTTATGCACAGCCATCATATAGCTAAAAAAACAGACCGTTTCAGAAGAATTGAATTTCCAAAAAATAATAATATATTTCAAATACCTCCATGGCACAAGCGTTACAAAGAAGCAAGGTAACAAGCAACTGATGCTGTTTCTGAACAACTGGCAAAATAGCAGCTACAGAGTGAAGCCAAAAGTGAACAACCAAATAACAAAGCACCAAGTTGTTAGAATTCACTAAGAAAGCGATTTACCAGCTTGTTTTTTCTCAGTGGAAGATCCACTACGCTGAAGAATCTCAAGGTCAACGAGTCCCAGAGACATCAAACCAAGAGTGAGACCAGACATGATTCCAGCGAAGAGCACAAGCAAGCAAGAGATTCCGGCATAAACGAACCACCACAGCGTACCAAACGGAATATCCTCAGCATCGTACACGAAGCTTCCTTGTTGGAACTCGTTCCCACCATGACTGAGGGTGTTCAGAGTCGGAGACAACATGCTCTTTCGCTTGGAACTAAGAAAAGAGAAAAGAAACAGGGCATGAATTGACACCTTAGTATAGTGTGGAAACAAACACCGAGCATTACGACGATACTAATATTTGACAAAATGTACCGTCCACTCCTATGATCCTATCATTATTTTCATCGTGTCATGCGTTACGTATATCATAATAATGTGTCGTTTTCTGTTGTCAGGTAAGTGTACGCGTTTTTATTGTGTTGGGCCCAGGTGAAGTTAATTTTTTTTTGTCATTCAGGTCAATGTAATTGTAACCACCCCTTTGTGTGTTAGGGTGGCCCGTTTATGTTGAAGTTTCTACAGGTTTATTTATGAATTGTGATTTCAGGCCCCTTCAGTTTTTGTGCTAAATGGTGTTCAATTCACCTTTTACTTGACAAATAAATTAAAAGCACACACATCTTTCAGAACTGTTCTGTTTGAGATTAATGGAGAAAGGGGCAATGGGAGTATTTCATGAATTGGTTTATGTTGGAGTTGGTTGAAATAAAGTATCTTGGATGCATGTGTTGTTCCCCGTTATTATGTTACTGAAATTATGCTATAGTAGAAGTTTATGGTTTCGTTGTTTTTTTGGTGATGAAAACTTCTTGTCCATGTCTTTATTGTTGACACTAATCTTAGAAAGGATTGTATTTTTAATGATATGCCCCAACTTGATTTGGAAAGAAATGACAAAAATCGAAATGTTAGTTACTCGTATAGATTGGGTTACTGCCTAGTTAGTTATAATTTAGGTTTTGTGTTGTTGGTTGGTTAGTTATTTAGAATTAATTAAAAATGCAAATGTTGGAATTCGAGTAAAAGTTCATCTTCCCCCCACCTTGTTCATATTGCAGAATTAAGCTATGTAATAACATCCTATCACTGAAGGGCCGAGGGGACTAGATGGGGAACCAATGAAATGCGTGGTAAATACCAAAATGAGTCTACATGATTAATACTTGAATCTTGGTCTATAATTTAATGACATTGTGTTTTTTACTATCCTACTGATCACACATTTTGCCATGAACTACGATATTAGACAACACTACATATACAACAAAATGGTCACACATTTATCTTTGTACCATTCGATTTACCTCTTTGACCGCATCAATTTTTTTGTTTCCCCCACAAATTTGCGTGCAATCCAATGGTTATATACATGTGTCTCTTTTGTTCTTGGGTGTTGTTCACGTAGTTTCTTTAACCCCTGCAACAAGCGTGAATACATAGTTTATGAGCAGTATTCGAAAACATTGGTTTCTAAAAGGCTATCTCTTATATTGTTTGAGACTTGTTCCTCTCACTTTTTATCTCCCAATATATGACTTTTTTTTCCCCTGAAGTGCCTTTCTCCCTCACAAGTTCTACGTGCTGATTATTTGTGCATTATCACTAACACCGTTTAACTACACTCCTCGCCAATGGAGACTAATTAATTAAAAAATTGTTCAGGAACAAGCTAGGTTGGTGGTTGGAGCCCAATTAGAATAATTTGCACGTCACCTACAAAGTCATCACACAAAATGGATGAGAAACTTTGAACAAGTAGACACTCTTGCAACACACCATAAAACTACCTATTTGAAGCATTCCTATGAAATTGCAAGTATATAAACAGTTCTACAGGGCCACATGAACATTGAAACTCTTCTAGGATCTGATGGGGAAGAGAGTGGAGATTTTCAATATAGTAACAGTGGCTCTAACATTTCTGGCAATAGTGCCAAAGATTGAGAGCCAAATAAGGTCCCCAATTATTCCTCTCCCATCAACAACTCCTCGCCCACTCTGTGCATCACAATTTGCACTAGTAAACTATGCATGTTCAAGGTTGCCATTCATCCATGTAATCCCACCTGCACCCTCATCTTCCTCAACCTCTCCACCAACCCCTGAAGATGATGATCATGATCATGATGACAATCATGATGATGATGATGATGGACACAGCAACCATCACAGACACGGGCACGGTCACAGCCACGGACACAGACATGGACACAGGCATAGGCACCAACAAACCGCTGATGAAGAGAACTGTTGCCGGTGGGCTAAGGAAGTGGACAACCAATGTGTGTGTGAACTTCTACTTCGCTTACCACCTTTCCTTACAAGACCTTTGCATCAGTACACTCTCAACATTGGAGAATCTTGCGACATCACTTACTCTTGTGGTGCACCAATTTGATTGCCAAACTTTCATTTTGAGCCATCCTTCCAATCTTGTGTTTGGTTTTAAGGATTAACATTATATTTCTCGTTTCTAGTTACTATCTAGTCTTATTATCTAGCTGCTGTTTAGTCATGTTTACTGGGCCATCGTTAGAGGTTGGAAACAATGGCTTGGTTAACTATTGTATAACCATATTTATTTCGTGAATTTATATGTACTATGAATAGAATAAGAATTACTACCACTGTTTTTAGACTTTGATGCAGCTTTTGTTGGACTGTGTAAAGTGAATATATATATATATATATATATATATATATAGGCACGAGTACTATATAATAAGCAGAATTATGGCCTAATCGAATAAGGTTTGGAATCGATTTTTTATTGAGTGAAAAATAGTTGTTGCCGATCCAACCCATTTAACATGTCATAGTTAAAGTCACGTATATTAACTCATCAAGTAGAATAACTCACGAGTTACAGGGGGATGGGGGCTTTGCAGAGAGTTACGACCTCCTAAAGAGAACTTTTAACTTGTGCAAGAGCTTGAAATGTTTTTTAAAGTTAATTTTCTAAATATTATCAAAAGAAACGTTTAGTTTCAATATTTTTAGTACATCTTACTATTTATATTATTTTTATAATCTTTTTATTCTTTTTATTTTTATGATAGTCATATTCTTTTTTTCTTTTTATCTCTTTCTTCATTTCTTCTATCTAAATATATATTACATTAAAAAAATACGATTTAAAAAGAAAATATATGTGTCATTTTCTTATCATAACAAGTAAAATCACAGTCTTATATTAATATATATATATATATATATATATATATATATATAAAGATCTTGTTATACTAATATAAATTATTAGATGTAAGTTAATTAAAAAATTTAAATTAAATGTAACAATTTTTAAATTTATTCTAGTATGAGAAGATTTATATATATATATATATATATATATATATATATATATATTACAGTTTTTTTTGTTAAAATTTTAAAAAAAAATGTAATATATTACAAGGTACTTCACATTTACAATGATCAAAATTTCAATTATAAAATCCCAAAATAAGACTGCCAATCCAAATAATGACTGTATACATAATTATTTTGTCAAATCCCTACTTACAAGCAACTGGAATAAAGTACCAAATTGGAAAAGACATTTGCATAGGTAAGAGACCTGTGCTAAGCCATCTCCAAGCACACACCTTGATTTTTTTACCAATAACCCATTCTCGAGAGAATTACCCCTATATTTTAGAGCATGCCTTATTTTCCACACCTCCCATGTAAATGCCAAAAAATACGAATGAACCCATACCTCCTTCAACTTTCTATTTTCAAACATCTACTTATTACACCAAAATAAAACCTCCCAGGAATAGGGAATTACCACATTCTCCACCAGTTGCGACAATCATATCATGCTTTAGCAGAAGGATTACACTCCAAAAATAAATGTTGGGTATCTTTCTTTTCTTTACCACACATATCACACATTAATTATAGTCAACAGATAGAACACCGCTTTTACATATCATCGCCTTTAATTTAGTGGGGACTTATTTTGCATAGTCCTCCACTAAAAAAATAAATCTTTAGCACCCCTTTAACCCACTGTGTTGAGAGAGTGTTGTAAGCATTCTTGCAATTGACCAAATAAACAATGTGCTTTCTCTATTTCTCGAATTTTCTGCAGATTCCATTTGGGCAGTTTGAATTATTGTTGGCAAGCTTGTCATTGCCCCCATATTGCGCCTTGAACCAAGCTAAGCACTTTGACATATTTACTGATTTCTCCACGTTATTTATCATGACATAATCATGTATAAAAAATAATCAAATAGTAATGATTTGTTTTTATTTTAAATAATATATTATACATTAAGATAAATGATACGAAAAAATATCACTAGTTATTCACTTTAAAATAAAGTTATAGACAGTCACATACAAGAATAATCAACTTAATCACACCAACTCTACATAGAATCTAATATGATTAAGTCTTCAAATGATAGGAAATAACATTTCCCGCTAGAACATAAACAACACAAGTCTAAAGCGTAATATGTATACTACAAAAAGGAAGAACGTGCAAACAGATGTCGAAAATATGAGGAACACGAGCATAGTCTTAAGAGTAACTTTATCTACTGTCCAACTTTATAATAGGACGGTAAGAGAGAAAGAAATGACTTTATGATGCTGTCTCTCGTAAAAGCAACGCTTCTTAAAGTTAAAAGTGAGATCAACGAGAGAGTAAGCAATTAGTAGGTAAAACATGGTTTTCGGTTTCAAAAAGAGGCCTTGAGCATGAGCTTTAAGAGGACTCGTTGCTTGGTTGACCGAAAAAAATAAGGACCCATTGCTTCTTGTACATATTCCTAAAAAACTTGTGTTCCAACAAAAATATATAGTTCAAATTACTTTATGCTAACAGAATTTTCATTTTTTTTAATTATGCTAAAATAAAGGTTAAGATATTATCTAACGAGACATAATTAAACTTCATTTCAAAACCAAGTTTCAGATAAGTTGATATTCCAAACTAAATAAGTGTGATATATGATTCAAGATTCATTAATATTAAGTATCAGATTTAAACTCTTATACTTTTTAATAATTTTTTATAGGATGCAAGATTAAATAATCTAATTGTTAATTTAAAGATTTCTAATTAAATATTTTATTACATTACTTTATTTCAATGAGTGATATATTTTTAAATTATAATTAAATACTAAATTTTAAATAACATACTTATATAAAATTTATCATACATCATCAAAAAATTAATATAAAATAATTTAACAGTTAAATTGATTAATTTAGTATTTTATAAAAAATTATTAAGTAGACTACTGTAAACAAATCTGAATATTTATATATCCTGCGGTGTCGGTCTAAGTAGTTTCAGATAACACTCGCTCAAAATCAAATGCATCGAGTACAAGGAAGACTGATCTTTCTTGGTTTGTAGGAAAGGTTGGTGCATTTAGCTACGACATTCCCATGTGAATACAGCAACATAAAGAGAAGTTTGGAGTCTGGAAGCAATAATAACAACGACCACAAACTACATTAATTCCCATATGGAAGGTTGATGCTTTTAGCCACAGCATTCCCATATGATCTGCTTAAGTTACGTTGCAAGCACTTCCGGAATTACATCCGACAACCATTTAACAGAGTTATGTGGTCGACACAATATTAGTAATGTAAACATAAAGATAGTGTTCATTGTCATTGTTGGTAGCAGCTATGATAATTACAACGCTGGTGGCTCGTAATCTTAAATAGATTATGTTATACTCTTTTGCATCACAAATGGAATGGAATAGCTCTATTTTCTTTGTTTTCGGGTTCAGCATCATCCACCACAATGCACTGTTATTATCATGGTCAGTACGGTAGGAATACATGCGGCACTTGAGCAGCAGTAATGTTTGACTCCATTTAGACTTTAAATTAAATCCACATTTTTAAGAAATTTACTTGGCCAAAGCATTTTTTAGATATTATATTAAGTCATCCTAGGTGAATTAATAAAATTTAGATATTATAATAGGAATTGTATCATTGATCTAATGAGTTTAATTTTAAAAAATCCTTATTTTTAAATTAAGAAGACTTGAAGGTGATTATTCATGTTGACCCAACAGGAACAGAGGAAACATGTATGCTCTGATTAGTCAATTTTTAATTCTTATCCTGTTTTTGTTTGTTTATATTTTGAAAAAATATAGACAATGAGGTGCCCCAAGGAATCATTATGAAGGTTAGAAACGCAGCAAAAATTCCTTCTTCACCGGGCGGTTTAATGTTCTAATTATCGGATGCTAAAGTAACCTTAATCTAAATAAGCTGTGACTAGACTTGAGGGAGAAAAAATAAGAACTTCGGAAAAAGGTTATAAAAAGCTTATTATAAATTCATTTTTAAAAGGCTTATATATAATTGGACCCACGATCAAATTAAAAAAATTATTTGTCCATAATCTTTTTAAATTAAATTTTGAAGTGTCCATTTTAAACTTAAGATATGCAATACGTTTTAATTTGAAATATATGCGGCACTAGACTAACTAAACAACATTTAATTAAGCTTTAATTCAGCTTCAAATTCGTGCAAATATTATTCTAAGGCTAATTTACTACAAATCCCACAAAGCTACAATGATCCCAGGTATATATTTTCTTAAAATCCATTTATTCTCTTGCAAATTATGTATCGAGGCTTCCTTGTCAGTCACTTTAAAATTTAGACTTAAAAAAGTTAAATCTTGGAACATGAAAGGGGCTGGAGCTTGCATTTAGCAACCAATTTCATGTATGAAGTATATAATTAAAATTAAGGTATTTATAAATTTTAAAAAATATTTTATATTTTTTAAATTAATAATTATAATTTTTTAATATTTTAAAATTTAGAAGGTATTAATTTTTTAAACTAAATTTTTAACTCTATTATTTATTAATATAAAATTAATGGTGATGATTGTTTTACATGTAAAAAAAAAGTATCAAGCCTTCTCAACTATAGAGGATACAGTAAATTTTATCATTATTTACTAATAACTAATAAAAAATATTTATTATTATTAAATAAACTGTTAAATTTTTTAACATATATATGAAGGCTATTAATAAAAGCAAATAGTAATTGTATTGAATATTATAATATTTAATATTATCTATTATTAAATTTTATACTTTTTTATAAAAATAAAGTATATATAATTTTTTTTCATATTTATTGAATACACATTAAAAAAGTAAACTATATATATATATATATATATATATATATGTCTCATTTTTTAAGAGTAATCATGGTACTTACAAGAAGTCAGCAAGACGGACAGACTCAGCAAGGCGGAACCTCTCGACACCAGAAGGATACTACACCTAATCAGCTTATCCCTGAAGTTCTAATGGAGAGAGGTGGCAATGAAAGCCTCTTTGCAGTGTTGAGGCAACTCAAAGCAGAGATAATGGAAATGAAAAAGGAAAGGGAGAAAGACGCTCTTGAGCTTTCGACTTTGAGAAGGGAAAATGTCAACTTAAGGGAAGAGATAAGAACTCACATACCTTCTCAAACTACACCCCTCGCCCAAGAGCAGGGGGAGTCCTCGGCGTTACAAGAGATGCCAAGGGTGGTTCAGCAACTTGGAACCCAAACTGACGAAATGATGTAGTGAGCCGAAGCTTGTTTGCTCACCATATATTGGATGCCAAGTTACTAGACAACTGGAGAAGCCTAACAATAGAAAAGTATGATGAAACATCAGACTCTGGAGAACATCTGGATATCTTCACAACTCAGGTCGGTCTGTATACAGAAAATGATGTTTTATGATGTAGAATATTTCCTACTTCACTCTGAGGATCGGCCCTCAGTTGGTTCACTAGGCTACCCCCTTCGTCCATTGATTCATTTGCAACCCTCACTAGATGATTCAATTTACAGTTTTTCACTAGTCATCCTCATCAACTGACCTCGTTGGCTTTGGTTAATATTTGCTAGGAGAAGAAGGAAACACTCAGGTCGTTTATGAAACATTTCAGGCAAATGGCCCTCTCTATCCGGAACTTGGATCCGGCAGTTGCGATGCACCATCTCACAATAGCCTTTAGGCTAGGGCCGTTTGTCAATAGTATCTGCAAAAAAAACCCTGTTGACCTAGATGAACTACGTTGTCGAGCAACCAAGTATATACAAATTGAAGAATTAGCCGAGTTCCACAACTAGGCCCAAATGGAGCAAGTATCCAGTTGAAGAGAATTTGAAGGGAAGGAACACGCAAGAAACAAACACGGAAACAAGGACCAAAAGATCAGAACTGAACGTCTCCCGAGGAGACCTAGGTTTGTAAGTTACACAATATTAAACACCAGTCGGTCCAAGGTACTTGAGCAGGTTTTAGCAACAGAGATATTGACAATACCATAGGACAATGATGCATGGCGCCTAACACCCTCCTTCGGCCTCATCCTTGGATGTATGACGCTTAACACCCCTTCAACCTCATCCTTGGATGAACGGCGTCTAACATCCCCCTTCGGCCTGCTTACTTCTTCATTACAACCGAATACCTCCTCCGTCAAAGTGTCATGGGTAAATACATTATTAAGCCCTCGTCTCGTACCTCTTCGGGCTTGGGGCTAGTGTACTGGATATGGTACTATTCAGTCTTATCTTTAGGAAAAGGTAACTGAGTACCCCTTCGGTCTAATATAGACGAATATCCTTTGTCAGATTAAAAGGTAATTAATCTAATTAAGGGTAATAATCAGAATATTATTTACTTTAATTAAGGGTCCAAAACTAAGGCTGATTCAGCAAGCCCATTAGCTCATAACATTACCTATAAAAGGAAGGTAGGAAGTATAGGTAAAAGGGGAGGACTTTTCAATATAAAATAACATTTATTGCTCAGAACCGAATCCTGACTTCAGCATCAGAGTGCCTTTTGCAAATACCTTTCCCACGTCAAGTAACGTCAGAAAGATACGGAAGGATATCATCTTACCCAAGCAGAGACTTGAAGACTAGTATTTTCATAGCAAAAATAATATATATAATATTTTTATTATAAATTGTGTGGTATTTTAATATTTAATGTAATAATAATATTGAATATTATAACATTTTGTGTTTCGTGCTTCTAAGCACATATTAAAGACTTGTTTTTAAAAACATACATAAAATTTATTTAATAGTAAACCTATATTACTAATATTCTTAATTAAAAATATCTAAAAAAAAAAAAAACGTTGATGGTCGGTTCAGCGGTAAACGAAGATTAAAGAAGTTTGAGTGGTATCCTTCTTTTAGTTCCCCCAACCTAATTTTTTTTTTACTTTGCTTTTTCGTTTTCCTCATCATATTTTTGTTCCATTTTTTATGAGGTGACAGCTATTTATGACCGAAAATTGGAAATGAAGCCGTAAGTTTTTCAAAGCACGTTTTGAAAAAACTGTACTATATGGTTGCTATTGTTCTTTAAATTGAGTTAAAGTTTATTTTAATATATTAATATTTAATGTCAATTCTAATTATACAATTTGTTGAAATAAAATTTTTAACTAATATATAATAATTAAATAATATCTAGTAAATTTTTCTTAAAAAAAATATTTTAAACATTAATTCTTAAGATTAAATTTAAAAACTTTAATAATAAATATTTATTATATTTTAAAATAATAAATATTTTAATTTTAATAAAAAATTATTATTTTTAATATTTAAATTCGACGAGTTAAGAGAAATCAAACTTTTAATGATCTCTTTGCATTAGTTTCAAAAGTCCATTAACACGAATTACGGAACATATTACGTAAAAAGCCAAAAAGTCATCGATTCAATCATCACATGCTCTTAATATTGAGAAGACAAAATATTCAGGTTAAAGATAATGAAATAAATTATACAATTTTTTAATATGTGTGTTATTGCATATTCTAAAAAATTATATATATAATAATTTTGTATTAAAATTATAGTTTTTAATAATATTAATGTATTAAATTATAATAAATTTATAATTTTTAATAAAAAATATCATATTTAACTTTTTATTATATACAATATTGTATAAATTAAAAAAAAGTGCTTATATGATTATTTTATTAAATTAAATATTAAGATAAAATATCATTTAAATAATATTATCTAATGTTAGAGATAATTTATGGATAATTTATAAATTATGAATATACAGAAATTAATTCTATGTCTCATAAATTGACAAGAATATTTTTTATATATTTTTTGTTATCTTGGAATTAAAAGAGTATTTTCAAAGCACCGTATGCTTAAGGTTTGCTCGAGTCCTTAGGTCAAAAAAGTTTGTAAAATAGTTGATATTTTTATATTACTATCTTTCTGTTATATTATACTATTTACTATATCAAATTATTTTATTTTGATTTTCCTCTTATTATGTACTGTTCCTACATAAATTGAAATGAAATTTATTCTTCTACTTTAAAAAAAAAAGAGTAGCCTACAAGTAATGTAAAAAAAAAAGTAGGATTGTTTTTATAAAAAAAAAATAAGATAAACTCCAAACACATAAACTATCTAGAATTGAAAGTCTAAAAACTGCATCCAGAAGATAAGAATAAAAGGGATTTTAAAAATTTTAAAATACACTTTAAAAAATCAATTTTAATTTTTTCTTATTAAAGTTTATTATTTTTAAGAAATTAAATTCTAACATCACCTTATGATAACATAAAAAAATAAGATTTGAAAATATAGAAAGAGTAACGTGAGAGGTAAGATAATAAAAAAAGAGATAAATTAAAATATATGTTAAAAATCAAAATTTTACAGAATTCAACACTTATAAATTGATAAGAAAAATATTTTTTATATTTTTATTAGATTTTATGTTTTTACAAAATTAAAGTTTAAACGAGTTACTAATTTCTAAAACTATATGATAGAATTTTAGTCTCTAAAAAAATATGTGATGTGATTTCAATCTTTGGTAAAAAAAAACATAAATCATGTTTTTTTATTAATTTTAAGATTAAAATTGAATAAAATTTTTGTTAAGCTATTATTAAATGTTTTAATATTTTTATGGATTAGTAATCTATGTAAACATAAAATTAAATAAAATTTTCTCTTATTAAAAAAAGGTATAGAATTAATATAGGAAAAGTAAGTAAAAAAAATATCAATTCTTGTTGATTAACCATGCTTCTTCTAAGAGGCTTAATCATAGGTATTTTATTTGTTTTCTTATATTCTTAAGTAACAATAAAAGGAAAGAAAAGTGTCTCAATTTATACACATATTGATTTTATATCACTTAATTTTTCTTCAAAATTGCAATGTAAAATAACATCAAAACTATACAAATTTTACAATTAAATGCGCATATATTTGAAAATTTTAAATTTACAAAGTTTTTAGATTGGTCAAATGATTCTATTATTACATTTTAATCTTATCATTATGAAACTATTAATAATTATTAATATTGTTATATTTATATTTTGTAACGATATTATAACTCTAAAAACCTATGTAATGAAGGATTCGTATATAAAGTAAAAGTACATTTTTAAACATAAAAGCTAGTTTGTAAATGAGCTAGCGTGGCAAAAAGTGTATTTCAAACTTTTTTTTAGTTATAACAAGACTTACTATGAGTTTAACCTATGAAAACAAAAAAAGAAAAGAAAAAAACTATTATACTTCATGACATTGAGTGGTATGTTGCTGGCACTCTAAGCCCAGAAACAACGTTAGCATTGTATAGAAACTGGGCAACTACGGAGGCACAAGGCTGTGCCACCATATTCTTCCATGCATGATTTGATTCTTGGCCACGCTTTTGAAACACGGGCGTGGCACAAACGCGATGAATCTTCCACCCTTTAACGCTTCGAAGCCTATGAATCCTCCCAACTTGTTTGCATGCCAATTTGCACGTATTACTCTTCACTTCACCAACCGCTTCCTGGAGCAACCTCTGTCTCGTTTCGTTGTTGGAGAACTCTTCCCTTCGAAAATACGAGTCAAATTCGGGTACCCCAATGGCTTTTCTTATGCCCCTTGAATAATCCCCGTTGGGATTAAAAAAGGGTCTTAACTCATTCACCATTCCCTTGTTAAGCATGTGATCAACACGCTGTGCTACATAGGAATGAAGAACGGGCGTTGACACGTCCACCCAAAGACAACACCAATCGTACCTTGGACCAAATTTATCGACCAAGGCTTCAATGTAGGAGTTGGAGCCTCCCACGATTATTGGAAGCTTCTCACGATCCGTGATTGATTCGATGGCGAGTGATGCCATGTCACAGAAATCAGAAGCTGTAAACTCTAAGTTGGGGTTGTGTGTTCCTAGCAAATGGTGTGGCACCCCAAGTTGCTCTTCTTTGGTGATTTTGTTTGTGACTATGTCAAGCCCTTCGTAGACTTGCATTTTGTCCGAGTTTATGATTTCTGCTGGAAAAGATTTGGCTAGGTCGATGGAAAGCCTTGACTTTCCAGTTCCTGTTGCTCCCATCACCAACACCACCTTCTCTTTCTGCCTAATGTTCTGCTTTTGCCCATTGGAGGGAACATTTTTCAGTGGTTGTGTTGGCCTGCACATCACCTTTGACATAATGGTCATGGTAAATTAATTGGTGAACGAATAATGGACCCAATTTACTAAAAAGGGTCTAAACGGGCAAGAAAAGAGATTAAGAATCAATTGGAATAAAGGGGGCGATTGGAGGGCATATATCAAGTATGTTCAAAGTTTCCCAAAGGAACTTTAGTTGTGTATATTGAGATTGGGAACATTAGTTTGTTGAGTATTTATAGCTAAGGCAAGCCGAAAGGGATAAAAAAAGTATCACTCTCTGACTCGATTTATTCAAGATTGTAAAGTACTAGGAATTATGATCGGTCAAGAAGATAATATGCAATAGTGGCCATCACAAAATATTCCCACAGTTTCAAATTTGTAACGCGGTCATGATTTTGAAGCCTGAATATTATGCAAATATCTAGACTTGTCTTCATGCCAAATAGAAATTGTGCTGATCCTGAGGAGGCTCAATAATTAAGGGAAAGCGAGCTAGCTCTTCATGGTCAAAGTGTTACTATAACATCAGAGAATACGAATAGTGGGCACAAGGTTCTTCTTTCTTAGGTGGGGCTATATAGGTAGCTAGAGTAGCAAATTGCAGAGAGTATATATGTACTGCTATGATAAGATCGGTTATTATTCCCTTCTTTTTATCTCCAAACTTTGTCTCTCGCACACGTATAAAGGTTTCTGGTAGCTGGTATCAAAGGCCTATCTCACAAGATATGAAAAATATACAGGCTTTAAATATACTCCTTTCTTAATACAAATCAGAAATGAGTTAGTACTGGTTCGATCTCTCTTTTCGGGATGAATCTTGGGAAAAAATTAGTTATAGTGACTTCAAGTAAACTATTTTTTGTACTTCAGGGTCCCACTTAAATCAGTCACTCATTGATAGTACAATTCAACAGTTGTCGAATGTTTGTCTAACATAAATAAGTATATTTACTCGTGTTAATTTTAAAATTTGAGAGGGAAAAAATGCATGAAGAAACTAAGAGCAAACTGATGATAAATATTTAAAAGATAACATAAGTTTAAAAGGGAATATTTGGATATCTTAAATTAAATAACACAAGAATACATGTTCCATGTTTGATTTAGAAATAGCCATAGGACGTAACGAAGTAATATATAGACCAAGCACACAATAAAAGAAAAGTATTAAACATTTTTGCTCAATATATTATGAGCCTTTTTTTTTGTTCCACATACAAAACTATTCAAAAGTTAAAAAACAAAAAGAAGTATCAAACATTTTTTTCTTCTCCCTCTTCCCTATCACTTCGTTTGATACAAGAAAGAAGATAAAAAGAAAAACTTCGATAGAAATTTTTTTTTAAGTTATTTGAGATATATGAGAAATATTAAAGAATTTTTTTCTTGAATAGATGATGATACTATTATAACTTAATATAATCTAATTACTTAAATTAGTAACTTCATCATATTTTATGTTTTAATGCTTTTGTCCTTTTCTTAGCTTAAATGGAGAGAATAAAACATGGGTGAGTCCAATGGGGCATTTTTCTTTGTTATAAAAGAAGTTTCTGTGTGTTATCAATCTTCGCTCGTTGTCTTTGGCTGATAAGTTGAGGATTCTGTGAAATATTCAACAGAAAGTTATGAAAACAGGTATGTAAAAAATAATCACCACTTTTCTTCTGAATCATACTCGGGATGGATTTTATATTAAATTGAGTTTTCATGCGGACCCTGTTAAGAATTCAACTCTGCTGAGATGCAACACTGGGGAGAAAGGCAATACTATCATCATTTTTTACTTTTGGATGCTCCATACATACAATACTAATTAATCTGATTTTGACTTGTTGAAAGAACATTAATGTGTATTTCATACGACTCTCTACTGCAAATTAGCAAGAAAAAATAAAGTGTTTTGAGTAATTTTTGCACTTCAAATAAGCTTAATATGAAAAGCTCATCATTTCTCCTAGGTTGTATTGTAGTCGAGTCTGAAAATTCTGTTGTAGAAATACATTCCTAACTTGATGCAATAGATTTTCTGACAATAATATAATATTCCTCCAATTGCAGTACTTGGCAATGTCTTCTTAACTTTGTAAAGTTTAGAGTTTGAAATTTTAATTCAATAATAGTGATGCAATTTTTAATCTGCATAGTCCCTTGAGAACGAATATATGAAAAATGATTCATGGTAAGCTAAACCGGGAACATTGACTATTTACAATTACAATGATAATGTAAACAATAAAAACAGCAACAAGTAGATACTGTACATGTTACCCAAAAAGAAAAAATACCAAATATTTGTAATTGGAATTATTTTGTGTGGTTGTAAAAATTAGCGACATTGAGATCAGAACACGTGGCAGCTTGTAGCAACAAAGATGAGGTAAAACCGAGTTTGTTGGAATGAAGATCAAACTGCAGGAGATTATCCTCCATCTGATACGCGCCAATCACAATGGGCGTCCTCCTACGGCTCCCACCATCCACAAAGCCCAAACACCACACATCCACTCCTTCCCTTTCAATCCTCACCATCGAATTCCCCCCGAAGATCCTCCAGAACACGTCCTCGCTCTGCATAACAAGATCAACGGTCGGCACCGCGGGTCCAACCCGCGTCTCCGTCAGGTCTTTCGCAGGGTAGCACACCCCAAACGGCTCGACGGCTTCTGTCACCGTTAAGTTGAAAGCTGCGGACGCGTTCGCGAAACGCTCTACGAAGAGTTTGTACACGGAAGTTTCCAGAACTGTGTAGGGCTCGGCGGTGCTGATCTTAGTTCCACCAAATCCGTTCTTATCAACGGTCAAGATAGAGGAATTGATGGGAACAGCGTGACCGTTGATTAGAATGGAGGTGAGGTTTATAAAATACTCATCGGACGGTTGCGCGTCGTGAGTGATAACGGTGTCCCCAACGGGGTTTACAATGAGCGAGGTGTAATTAAGCAACTTGGAGAGGTCAATTTTGGAAGAAGTGAAATAAGGGCCAGTGGAGCCGAAGAAAGCCGCGCCTGGGCTTGAGGTTGAAGCGGGTAAGCATAGGGCGAAGCACAGTGAGGAGGACAAAGCGGCGCTGATTTGGGCCGGGAGTGAGTTACTGGACCGGCCCAATGCAGCTAGGCCTGCAGCATTGGTGGCTAGGCCTTGGAGTAAAGAGGATGAAGAGCATGAGAAGATGAAATCGGAGATGAGAATGAGTGGGCCCTGAGTTGACCCGTCCGAGGTGGGGAGAGCGAGGGAATCGATGAGTGCGTTGTCCAGGAGGGTGGTTCGGGTGAGGGGGTTTTCGGGGAAGAGAGCGCACGTATCGTTGGCGCAGTTAGGGGCACGTGGGTGGAAGCAGTTGGAGCATGCCGTGGAGTGGAAGGAGGCGCAGAGGGAGGAGTTGCAGGGAATGTGGTGGTAGGAGGAGGAGGTGTAGGTGGAGTCGCAGAGGAGCCAGGTGAAGGAGGAACCCAGGTCGAGGTGGAGTTTGGTGGGTTGGAGTGGGGTTTTGAGGTAGAGAGAGAGTGTGTAGAGTTGCGTGGAAGGGTCTTTTGATATTGGAGCAAAGAGGGGAACTTGGAGAGTGGGAGGGAGAGTGTAAGAGAGGAAGATGGCGAAGAAGAAATAATGTGATGATGGAAGAGGCATTTTGGTCATGGAAGTAGGAAGGAGGGAGATAAAGATGTACAGTGGTTGGTGTTGGAGCGTTGAGTGTATTACTATGAGAGACTGGCCATTAATCACACCCACCCACACTCATGTAAGATAATGTACGTAAAAAACTACGGTCCTATTTTCATACGATATGAATTAACATATGTGAAGCGTAGTGGGAGTGGGAGCTACGTAAATTAGCTAACACGCAGTTAATATAATATGATGAGTTGGAATGGGTGCCTAAGATCTGCTAAACAACAAAAGTGTTATTTGTGGGTAATGGAAGGTCTTGTCGAAGGTTGAAGGTTTTTGTAATTTGTTTGCCTTTCCTTTTAACTCTCTGTCGGTGTCGGCAGTCAGGTCAGAGTTGGGATATGCCTCGTTTTCTGTGGATCCAAATCATATCCGTGCTTTGAGATTGTTCTAAGAAAAAGGGTGTCTGCATGATAAAATTATATAATATTTTTATCACATTATATTTTTTAAAATTTCTACAAAATATCACACAAAAATTTGTATGCAAGAATTTCTCTAAACAAATCAAATGAAAATGTAGACTTTTTTACAGAAATATTATTAAAAAAATAAAAAATTACAAAAATAGACTCAACAAGAATTTATTTTTTGGGACAAACTTAATTACTATAGTATAAAAATGTCAATTCAAAATTCGGATCTTGAGAACTGAATTCTAAATTAATTTATATATATATATGTATGTATTTTATATAATATAATAAATATTATTAATTAAAATATATTTATATTTATTAAAATTTATTTTACATATTTAAGATAATAAATAATATTTTTGTTTTTCTTATTATATTATTAATATAAGTTTGATTTTTTTAAAATGATATTAATATTATATTCTGAAATTATATTTTTAGTTATTTAATATTATATTTAAAAAACTAAAAATTATAATATGAATCTATTTAATTTTATATATTTAAAAATTAAATAAAATTATTAAATAATAACCAGTTTATGTATTTATTTTGAGATATTAATATTTGTTAAAATTTATACATAATTATTTATTTAAAAAATATATTATTAATATTAATAAATATAATATTATGTAGATATATATTATATATAATTATATATTTAATATAAATTACAAATACTAAAAATTTAAAAGTTGTAATGACATTCATAAAATTAAAAATGACATTAAAAAGATTTTAAAATAATAACAACAACATAAATCAATGGCGGAAACTAGAAGCTTGAGCGATATTTGGACATATCTTTCTTGTGTGACTAGGGGTATAACAATAAGAATAATTTTTTGTCCGACTTTGTTGTTCTCTAATGTTCATCTCTATACTTATCCTACTGGACTTGAGTTGACCCTTTAAAATTCTTTTCAGTTCTGAATTTGGACATAAAGTTGGGCTCGTGTAAGTTGGTCAATAGTCTTCGTGTCTGAGTTCTCCAAATTGACCTTCGTATATCTTAGAAACTTGTTGTAAGGTATACACAGGAGATATGTAGATGTCAAAGTTGTGTTGTATGTGTAAGCATGAAGCAAGTACATGCGAGTATGAAATGTGAACTTTTTAAAAATTGTCACAATCATACCACATTTCATTTAACCGTATTGTAAATCTTCCTACAGGTCAAATTTCTGTCGGATGTTGCGTTTCTTTGACTAAAAATTTAGTGTTTGTTATGTCAAAAGTGATGACTCTATGAGTGTTTGCCTTTGACTATGCATCTTGAATTGCTTTAGTTGCAACCTCCGAGTACATATGTCTAGCATTAATCATTGCATCTACTTCCTTGCTTCTGTTAATGAAGAGCTTATTGTAACAGGTATATGTTGTCATGACTATGGAACAAATTGGTAAATTTTTTATTTTCTTCAAGACCGAATTGATTGACTCCGCTAGGTTTGTTGTCATGTGTCCCTAGCATCGTCCGTTGTCCCATGCCAGTGTCTATTTTTTCCTTGGGATGTTGTCCAATCATTGTGCATCTTCAAGATTATTATCTTTTACTATGTTGTACTAGTAAAAGAATCTTGATGTAGTCATCTCATATGCTAGAAACAAGATTACAAATTAAATTAATATAACTAGCTAAGTAATTGTACAAAATATTAATGATAATATAGAGTATGTAAAAAATTAAAATTATCCATATTGACGACATCTTTCTTCAGTGCAGCATTTTTGAATCGTAGCATGAAATTTTGTGCAATGTGTCTAATGCAATAGACATGGACAAAATTGTTTTTTGTCCAACCACTTTCATTTCTGGAGTATGCACTTCTTATGGGCTCGTGACGATCTAAAATGAGGCACAACCCCTCTTGCAAGGTTACATACCTCCTTAAGTTTTTTTTTAAAAAAAAAACCATGCATCACTAGTTTCACCTTCAACCACAACAAAGGCAATGAAAATTATCTTGTTGCGGCTGTCTTGTGCAACTGTCACTAATAAAGTCTCTTTGTATTTGTCAGTCAAAAATGTTTTATCCACTTGAACAATTGGTTTGCAGAAGGCAAAATCATCAATGCATGTCTTGAAGGTCCAAAACAACCTCTTGAAGAACACATTTCCCTCGTCAAGCAAGCCATCGTTGTATATCGATTGTATACTCAATTTCCATATCAAGCCCGGAACATACAGTTGCATTGCAAGCAATTGTCTCGGTAACTTATGGTATGATTCCTCCCAATTTTTGAAGATATTTTTAATGACATGTTTCCCTAACCATCCCTTTCTATAGTTGATTGTATAACACATTGTGGACTTTATGTGGACTAAGATGGTTGCAATGCGTGTGAATGAATCAATCTCAATAATTTCACAAATGGTTTGAAAAATCATTTGTGATCCCAACTTGTTATGATCCTGTGAAATGAGTGGGGAAGCACAAGCGTGACACCCTTTAAGCTTCATTATTTCTTAGTGTTGCTCTTTGGTGCGTAATATAGCGCGATATCTCCAAACACAGTCGTTGTGAACGCATTCCACAACAAGCCTAGTTGTGCTTGACATTTTCACCTTGTAAGTGCAATAATTGACAATGTGAAATCTATTTATGTCATCTTGCACTTGTTCTTCTGTTAGGAACCATTGACCAACAAATAGTGTTCTAGGCAGATACACTACCATTTCACGATCAAAGACATGGCCAAACTCAGAGTCATGTTTTTGTATTTGACTGAGAATGTTTAGAAAATGTGGAGGTAGGTTGTATAATGGAAATGATTGTGATAGTGAAATATTTAAAAGTGGGAGGGAGTCTTCTTCATCATCTTGTTGTTGAGATAAGATTTTCTCTTCATCCTTGCTAAAAGGGTCAAATACTTTGATTAAGAGACCCACAACAACATGTTCTTCAACTGGGACTTCTTCAAGAGGCTGAGAGGGTAAGGTTTGCTGAAATAGTTCGGAGGGTATTTCATTGAGGTCCATGAATGGACCAGTTAAAAGTTGTGTGTAGGACTGAAGGTCAGAATTCATATCATATGTTGAAAAGGATGGATTTATGATTTCATAAGTTTGATAAGGTGAAGGTGAAGGTGAAAGTTGTGGTGGCTAGGTTACGTTTGTAGCAAATGTAACATATAATTTTATACCTGATTGAAGTTGATTTGAATCGTGGATGTTGAAGAGTGTCTCGACGTCTTCATCATCGTTCAACTCAACACATGTGTAGTTGCTAACTCCAAGGCCAAGTCTAATTGGGTAGCAAAAATGTATCGTTGTCACTCTTTCATTTTAGTCTGGTTAAGTTTTGTGTGGATGAATTTCTTGAGCCTTTGTAGAGTCAATCCTCTCTTTAGATGTACTAATTTCGCTAATGGTGAGATAAACGTGACTTTTTCATTAGGACATTGGTTAATGGCACCATCAGAGTGAACAATGATATAGATTGAAGATATTTTTAGAAGGAGAACATTCACAAGAACAAGAAACAAGCTTAGAAGGTTGAATGAATAAAATGAACACGAATATGGTTATTTATAATGGTAACGTTGGATTCTCAATCATTCAATGCTTCACCACATTTTACGAGTGATAGTGACCTCTCCATTCACGTAAACTAAGAGATAGTGACTTTTCAGTCACACAGTCCGAGGCTGCGTGACTTCTCAGTTACGCAGACCAAGAGACAGTGACATCTCAGTCACGCATGCCAAGAGATAATGACTTCTCAGTCACGCAGACCAAGGCTACATGATTTCTCAGTTACGCATACCAAGAGATAGTGACTTCTCTGTTTATCTATAAATATGTTCATCCAAGGCCACATGTTTTCATTCAAATTTGTATCCATCTTTGTTCTTCATTTCTCTCTATCTTTGCTCTCATTACTAAAAATGTTGTTCTGGAAGCAAAATGAACACAAGTTCGTCTTCATTGGAAGAACGGTAAGTTTTACACATTAGCATTATTAACTGAATATGTAAATCAATATTCTACATATAATGTTACTAATTTATTAATAACTGCAGAAAACTGAACACATGATTTCATCTTTCTGTCATTCAATGTCAAAACCTAGTCCTCTAATTGTTCGTATACTTAAACAACTTGATTTTGCTGGGATAGCAAAGCTAAGGCATCTTAAGGTGGATCACGCATTGATAACAGTTTTGGTCGAGAGGTGGAGACCTAAAACTCACACATTCCATTTTCAATAGGGGAGTGCACCATAACCCTAGAGGATGTTGCACTTCAACTCGGGCTAAGAGTTGATGATTTACCAATCATTGGTCCAACAATGTTTGACTGGGAGGAAATGTGTGACACATATCTCGGTATCATGCCAGTCAAGGGAGAGTCACTTATTGGCTCTATGCTAAAACTACAGTGGCTGAGAGACAACATGTTGCCATTACCAGAAGAATCATCTAAAGAAGAAATTCATGCCCATTGTAGGGCTTATATACTATGTTTAATTGGAGGTGTTTTGATGTCCGACAATACAGGCAACAAAGTATGTCTTATGTATTTAGCTTTCTTTACTAACT